AGGTTGTGGAGCAAAACCCTAGAATTCTAGATTTACGTGAAAAATTAAACGCAATAACAAAAAAGCAAGATCGCAATGTTGATAAGACGACGAAACGGTTAATTAATGACATCACCCAACTTGTAGAAGACAAAGAACAAGATGAATCAGGTCCTTACAGTCTCCTATTCGATCTAAAACAAGATTCTTCAACTTCAAGCCAAGATGTTCCACAAACTAATATTTGGAGGCCTAGATCTGGTGGTTTTAGTGATTTGAGTTTTCAAGCTCCAAGTAAAGTAATGAGTTCAGTCAACAAAAGTGTAGACAGATTACCGAACGTCTTGAATTTTGATGATAAGCCCATGAAAGAATTTGAATATTCTTGCGAAAACGAAGTCATCTTGCCTGTAAAAAAAGTATTCAATACTCATTCCAGATCTGATCTTTGTTTACAGTTAAAGTCACACATAATGCATCCTCGAACATTAGAAACGAATGCAAGTCCAAATGATAACTCATTAAGCAGAACCAATGAAGAAAACTCGCTTGATGATAGTTTGGGCATTCTAACTCCTGATCAGATGGATGATATTTGTTATTTAGAGAATGCTTTTTCACCTACTGTAGAAGGTTTACCTGTTTTTTGTACTAACAACGAATGTAAAAATTCTCCAGATAATGGTGACACCCCATCGACTGATAAGACTGAAAGCAACTCAGCCGCATCTACAATTCAAAATGATGGTTTTGAAGATAACGATAAAAGAAATGTTGCGTTTGAACGGACACGTGCACCTATTGTCAGTTTAGAAGCAATAACAAATGAAGACCAAAATTCAGTAAATTACTTCGATAATACCCTGGCAGCTAGAATATGTCCTGAGTCGATATGTGCTTCGACGGAATCTGTTGATGTATCGCCTCCTCTTGTTGTGGAAAACATGGTGGAACCAGATTACATAGACTTACCTACAAACGGATGTGTTCCGAACATAGAAGAAGAATTAATGCCTTCTATTCATAGTAGTATTTTAGAGCCAATAAGTTCCATAGCAGAAAATACTGGGCACTTGGAAATACCTTTAGATTGTAATCATGATAAGAACCTTATTACTTGTAGGATAGATCAAACACCTTCTCCGGAAGATTTACCTTTAGACAGTTCAGATATACACGGTGAGATCAGTACATATTCTCAATTTTCCGCTTCAACTTTACATGATTCTCATACGTTCTCTGATAGTAAGAACGATTATCCAAAATCTATGGAAACATCTAAAGTTTCAAATAGTTTTATTACAAGTATTACCAGTATTACTAGTCTAGATGGGTATCAAGGTGACGGAGAAATGTCGAGACCCGTGAGCAGGGGAGCAGATCATTCAATTGAACAACGTGAAGATGCTATAGAAATGGATTGGCAAAATGTTCCTGTCACAAGAAGGGCGGATCCAATGACAGACTCCGATTTTTTCACAGAAAGCGATGCTGATGGATTGGATGATCACATGCAAAGAGGAGACAGAAGAGCACAAGTCATAGATGGAGCTTTATATGGTGGTAAAAACTCAAACGGGAATCCTCCTTTGATTGTTAACAGAAACGATGATTCGTGTATGGAGTCTAGTGGTGTATATACTGATTTTGAAAATCATCGAGCTTCTCCGGTGTTTTTGAATGTCATTGATGATATGTCACCTGAAGGATCAACTCCGTCAACTCGGTCAGAATGTAGTCAGAAAAATGCGAGTACAGGTAATTTAAACGCATACTTAACACCTCTCGAAGACAATGTAGATGATGACAAACTAAGCAAAGCTGATACAGTTAACAACATAGATACTCCAAAAAATACTAGTAAAAGAAATTCAATCAATAGCGATAAAGAGGCAAGAAACAGTGAAAAAATAAAAGAAGAAAAAAGAGCTTTTACTCTAAAGAAGTATAAAATGCCTAAGCGTGACGTACCTAGTAAATTAAAAAGCATGTTGGCGAGCAGAAAGACTGATGCAGATGTTAGTGTCCAAAGTAGTCCGAAAGCCGTAAAGAAAACGGAAAGACGAGAAAATCTCTCCAAAAAGAACTCCTTGGATATCAAAAGTGACTTTAAAGTCAAGTCATTCAAAGACATTAAATCTAAAGTAGATAGTTCATTTTCTCTGCAACGGTCGCAAACAGCATGCAGTGTCAGTAGAATGCTAAGTTCAAAATCTACAAATACAAACCCGAAGCCTAAAAGGTAGTTAAATTTCCTCTCGATACCAGTTCCTATTTTCTTATTTAATTCCTGAGTTATAAAGCAATAATATATAACAGTAATAAAGTATGGTATATAACTTTATTGCAGCCGCCACATGCGTATGCGCATGGAACTTGGTTCGGCTAATGGCAGTGGCAAGAGCAGTTTGCATAGTTCACAGAGCGACATTAGCGCCACCAGTACGCCACTTGGCAAGCATTCCACCGGCCGATTCCCTGCTCTAAGTGAGTATCTTTTTTTTTCAACTTCAAATACAAAATGAATGCTACAAGTATAAATTACAAATATTTCTTAACATTAAGTTTCTTTTAGGTAAGTTGACATTTAAGTACAAAATAGTCGTGTGTTTCCTTGAGTTTCTTTGCCTGTACTACTATTATGTCTTATAATCGATGACAGTCTCTAATGTTTTGCGAAAGGTTATGAGGTCACACATTTGTAAATCTTAAAATCGGTTATAGTTTAAATATTAAAATAATAAGTTTTAAAACCGAGTATCGTGCAAATTCATTATCTTAAACTATAACCATCGATAGAAAGATAAAATGACTACTGGATTTAATATTCTTATCTATTGTTGATTTGATACACTTATCTTTAATAATCTACACATCTTATTATACCGAAAATTGAAATTGAAACGATTAAATGTTATTTATGTATAGTAAATTCTTTTCAATATCTAATGAATAATGGGGCAATGCCTAGTATACTTTTACAGTTAGGTTTGACTTATTTTAGTAACGATTTGTGGAAATTATACCGGGAACGCTCGAAGCAGTGTGTGCTTTAAATAAATAGAAGAATCTAAATATTTAAAGCACACCATAGCAACATTGCCGTGGATATCCATAAGGCGTCTTAAGAGTTTACAATACAGCAAAACATCTCTATATAATTGTATTTTATTATAGCAATGTAAGGAGTCAAAAAGTTAGATATAGATGTTTGATTATACCTATATAATTCATTTATTTGGTGAAAATTCAAAGTAATATATTTAAATTTTATTTCATTGACTCAGATGTCAGACGTCTTGAATGCTCCTGGATGAGAGAATTGTCATTACATTAATAGTAGGCGTTTCGTCTGTTCCGATGATTCTGTTTTGATCTGGGTTAGTGACCTTTAGCTCCGTAATTAATTATTAGTATGAGCAATACGAAAAAAATAATTTTTGTTTTTATTTTAATGATTCATCGTGACTCCATTAAAATTTTCATTTATTTACCGGTAAAATTTTAAGAATATTTAAGATCTATGATAAATTGATAACATTTTGTTGGTATCTCAGACATTGATATTGGCGAGTTTTATCGTATTGGGGGCATAAAAAAGATAAGACATTGATATATCTCCTCTTCTTTCTAATATGTTATTCTTGTTATTTTACTCACTTTATTATTAAAATTTGGTAAAGTTTCATTTCGCTATCATTCATCATGGTCGGCATCACCAACCTATAACCTACGGGCTTGACATAATAAATTTTTGGTCACTTCTATAACCGGCATTGCGAAAGTGGGTTCACAACCGCATCGCAGATCAAGTACGCTACAGCGCCATCGACCATATGAAGGTCTGTGTACAGCAGACATTAAAAGACTGATGAGGATTTTCCTTGGCCAGTTTTTCGTATCAATTCATAATTATATTTAAATATTATATCAGTTTTTTTCCTCATCTATTGACCGGATTACGTAAATGCATTTAAATAATGGACTTACCTAATTTGTTAAATAGGCAGACGTATGAATTAATGTAGATATACATTATAGAGATATAACAGATATGATATAGAGAGTTTCGGGAATTATATTAAGGTACAGTCGTCTAATTGGGCCCATTGTTTTTAACCATTGGAGTACTAAATGTTCAAATGATATACATTTGAATTATTCTTCAGCCCTTATTGGTTAGTTGACTAAATTAAGAGAATAGTTGACTTTTGAGCACTCCAGCGCTAAAAAGTGTGGGCCTTAAAGGACGACAGTACCTTATATTAGTACCTAACAATATTTATAGTCTTTCGCATTGGGTTTATTTAAATAGCCAACAAAAAGATTAAAAAATCGTAGATAAACAGCTAACTCTCAATAAATCCTTTTTTTAAATATAATAGGTTTCCGGCGATTCAATGCGAGCATGTTTTCAAGTTATGATTTCTTTAAAACTCTTTGTCTTAAGTTGTTTGAATACTTCTTTTAAAATTAATGTATTAAATAATTTTAAAATTTAAAACTTTATTATGATTGTTTTGGTAAAAATAAAACACCAAAGTTGTAATTTTCCAAACTAACGTAGAAAGTGTACAAGTAGCGGTAATTCATTTCAGTTGCCATTCCTTTCTGAAATCGATTGAAAGAAAGTAAAAAACAAGAGATAATTAAAATGGTAAAAATCCTCATCAAGAGAGCAACACTTTAAATAGTTTAGCTTTATTTTTTTATCTTGACCAGGTTCTTAACTATGACTTTTTGTTGAAGTATATTATCAACTAATATGAATTGAATTTTAATTTTAAACATCGTTTTTACACTAAAATATTTGCTCTGTTATTCATAAAACCATGACAGTATGATTCCACTTTTATCAAATAAAAAAACCTCTTACTAGTCTATGTAGGTATATAGAGGTTCCCTATTAAATATCAGCTGGTCTCTGAACCTATGATAGTTGGAATCGATGCGGAAGGTCGAACCGGCACGGGGAGTACCGAGGATCGCATGGTAACTGACATTTCCTCTCAGTCAGGTTCAGTCAGCTACTCGCCGCCGGCAGAGACGCGAGACGCGCACGACTGTCGCGCTTGTGACGTCAACTTAACGCGAAAAATCAATGGATACACTCTACACTTTAAGGTTACCCGCATACCGCATTTTCGTGGCGAAAATGTGTCATATGCAAGTGCAGTGAGAACCCGTTACTTATGGATTTGTTAATGACATGTCGGCGTAGATGCAGATTTACACGTGAACGGTTAACTTTCAACTACGATTCTGTGTGGTGTCATATTTCCAGTTATTATTTTTTTATAATTTTTAAATGTTTTGTAGGTTTTATGATTTAACAATTCGACAATATGGATTTTCAATGATACAGGCAACAGTTATGTGAAAATCGATTAATATATCTGAGATATCCTGGTTTAAAGAAAAAGACATAACTTTGGTTATTCTTTCAAATCTCACGTAAAAGATAGGTATCTTATTTTGCTTTTATATGAGATTTTTTATACGTTATTTTTTATTTGAGATAGATATAAGGCTTAATAGTTTTTTAAATAAACTAGGATTAAGGCTTATGTCATATCTAAGTAAGAACAGTATAATCAATTAAGTTGCACCATATTCGTCGGTTATACACTTTATATACCACTTCCTCTCTTAAAGTTCTTGTTCAGTAACTTTAAATTATATGCCTTCGATATATAGTTAATGTAACTGTCCTTCATTTTTGTATGTCAAACGGCAACTGGTTAAACAAGCCGAGCTAACTCGAAGTGATGTTATTCTTTAAGTAAACAACTAGGTTTAATTGTTAGGCACCTATATTTGTATGGATCGCTACACTGACTTTCCTTTAGGATTGTTATTAGATTCTTCTTTATTATATGTAGTTAAGTCACACGTTTCATTTGATTTTGGAAATTTTAAAAGAAGTTTATTAGAGTTTGTGAAATCATTGTTACATGACATATTTAGTGTTCAATTTACCCGAACACATGTTTATTACATTAACGTTGAAATAGTTTTGCATTCGGATTATCAATTCGATCATTTCCTCAATTAGTCAGTCGGAATATACATTTTGTTAAATATAAGTTAAAACCATATTGATACTTCTGTTTGACTTTTCCGATTGTTGAATGTTGATTGAGTAATCACAATCAGTGAATTAAAAAAAAAAAACTATTTACGAGTTAAAAGGCTAGCCTCATTATAACATAAATTATGATGGTGATTTATATCAATAAATAGTTTGTAAATAAGAAGGAAACATTGGAATTTATTTTTTATTTACAAAAAGTCAAATGTGAGTTTATTTATATGGATACAAGTACCAAATCAGATTATCTAGTTGTTTTCATTTAGTTTAATACCTATACACTTTCGATAATAATTTTCGTTATAATTCTTAGTAGCAGAATATCAAATGAATTTAAGATACCTAGTTGTTAAAGAAGTAATTCAATGAAAATTAATTGACACCGACTGCTCACCTTTCACCATGGCAAGAAAATTAAAAAAAAAACCTTTTTTAGTGTAACCACATAGCCTATAAACAATTGAGATGCTATTATGTAATTCGTGTTTTGTTACGTCTATGCTAATGGTAGTTTAATCACACAAATCAAATGGTCATTTAAGTAAGCATCCACTCTTCGTCATTATACAACTTCGATGGATATTAAATTATTAATAAAGATATGTTATCTCATAAGTCGTTTTTTGTTAGAAAAGGCAACAAACTCACTTTAATTAATCAATTTTATTAGGTTTGTACGGTATTATTTAGGTATTCTATAAAACAAGTACTCATACCATGCTTAAATTAATAATATATAATTTTGCATTTGATGTACCTTTGTATCATTATAAAATAACGCAATCAAATAACTTGAGAAATAACACTTACCGTTCTCTGATGCCCAAAACGTGAAGCTAATGAGTTTTGTTATGGAATCAATTATCAATTAGTAGGTACAATAAAGAGGAAGTTCGTTTAGCATATTGGTTCGTTGGATGCCTCAGAGATGGCAAGCTAGATTAGTTTAGTCACTGCATTTGCAGATTCTTTGCAAAAGTAATATTAAGTAGGTATATTCATATCAATCATATTTCAGTTCAATCATATCACGATTAACGACTCATTATCAGAGATTATGGCGAAGCTGAATATATTGTTTTCATATTAGATGCGAGACAACTTATCTTGATCTTTTTCTTGACTGCAAAGAGTAGGTGTACCTGTTTTTCTACTGCACAATTATTGGCATTGTTTTCGTGAAACAATTTATCTCACGTATAACTTTCTCTATTATAAACTAGCTTTATGCTATCACGCGACGAATCGAATTTTGTTGAAAGTGTTGGAATTCACACCGATCATATAAAGTTACCGTCAAGTTTTATCTGTATCAGATTGCGTAACTTTTAATATCATGCCCAATTCTTAGACATTGTTTGTCGAAAGAGATAAGTCGAAGTTGAAAATTTTTAGACTTGTATTCTTTTTTTGAGAAAACAAATTTAACCAAGAAATTTGTTTCTTTTTAAAAGAGAACTGCAATTTATTTTAATGACAGTTGATTCGTTCTTTGTAAAAAGTCTGTTGTGCTAGTTATTTTTATTTGGTAGTGATACCAACGGATAGATGGAGCTTAATCATTTTTAAAACTTAACTGGTTTTGAACACTAAAGGATTCACTAAGTATTGTTAAGTAATTAATTTAATATATATTAATTTAATCTTTAATTCGTGAACCAAACTTTTGGTGTGGTTTGGTCTAGTCGATGTTCGCGTGAAGTCCGATGGTGGTAGGCACAATGTAACGGGTTATTCTCGGCGATGGATTTGTTGACGGCCACGAAACGTTGACCCCGCCGCGAAACTGCGAACAGTATAGACAACTATCAAGCTTAGACCTTGTCCAAAAGGGGTGAATTCACCGCGATGTTAGTAGCAGTTTCTGGTTCATTACTTCAAAAGTTTTGTTTATTTGTAACACTATTGTTTATCAACGAGTAATGTATAACGAAACGCGGCTAATACGCGTGTTATTCTGAACAGGATCTTAACAGCATTTAGCAACGATTAGCATAAAAAGCACCTACTTGATTGTCATATAAAAAAAAAATATATAAATGTATCATTAAACCGGTTGAAAATACCTATTAATATTTATGTTAAAAAATAAACGCAAAATTGTACACTAGCTGTTTTCCCGCGATTTCGCTCGCGTCAAGTAGGTATAGCCTATATTTACTAAGTATGAAGTAGCTTAACCAGGGCTTAAAGAATTTAAAAAATCAGTCCAGTTTTTCGGAGTCTGTCCGTTGCAAAAATATAATCAAATCTTTCTTCTTTGTAATGTTTGTAAAGATACGGTTCACAATACAAATTTGTCAAATGTCTTCAACTGTTTTAAACCTTATTGATTTCGTAAAAGCTACATTTATTTCAAATTTCCACAAATATTATGAACTCCATCTGCAATGCATTAAGGATAAAAAACAAGTGGAGAAACTTGACATTTTTGTAAAGCCTGATGTGCTGTTGACTGTATTGAGTTGTGATTTAAAATAACAAAAATAGATAAATCCATCCTTGTAGTAATTGCTGTCGTAAGGTGTTACAGTATTTTTGTAGCCTTTATATAACTTAAAGTATAATAATAACAATGATAATTCTGGACCATTCTAACTGTCCACCAGTATTAAAGGCCACATGCTGTTTTGTATCGAATTGTATCGGACGCTGTGACAAAATTAATAGTTCTCTTTTTAGATGCCAACAATACAAAGTTAGTAGTTTATTTTAGTCAACAAAAACTAAGTAAATTAATGGAAATCTGTGGTGAAATATTTTGTATTGCGAATGACCTACCAGAGGTAATCAACGTTAAACTCGTCGTTGAGCACTGTGCTGGCAACAGCAAAGAGGTTCAATTAAATAAAACGTACTTCAAAAGGTAGGATTATATTTGCCGAGTAGTTCGCACGCCGGTTTCAAAGTGTTGCTATCTCTGGTGGTCCCAATTCACGGGCGGGTCAATGTAGTAAATGGACGTACGACAAGAACGTGTAAAAAGGGTCGTGGTCAAGGGTTGGTCAGGCTTTACAGACTGTGGCGAAACAAGAGTTAACTCGCAACAAGGTGATGCTGTGTGTATGGTGGGATTGGAATGGCATTATACATTATGAGCGGCTACCGGGACGTGTCTGTCGATTTCGAACTCTACTGCGAACAACTAATGAAATTAAAGCAAGAAGTTGAGAGAAAGCGGCCAGAATTAATCAATTGAAGGTGTGTGGTTTTTCATCATGATAACTTACACATTTTTGCCACTCAGCAAAAATTAAGACAGTTTGTCTGGGATGTGTTAATTCATCCGCCGTATAGTCCTGACTTTGCTCATTCAGATTTCCACCTGTTTCGGTCTCCTCAGGATTCTTTAAACTGTAGGGTTACTATAGACTATAGTATAGACTACAGTGTCAGGTTACTATAGACTATAGTAAGGGGATCATGTACCCTACCTACAAGATGACAAAAAGTCATCGAATAAAATGGTACCTTCATACTTTGCTTAAATGTAAATAACTTTATTAAAAAATGCTTTGAATTTTCATATGAAATGCGTAGAAAGTTTTACCCCAACCTATTAAAAAGGACTATTAATTATATAAGTATGCGAATAAAAGCGAAGAAAAAAATTTATATTCTATTTTGCTTTGGTATGATTTTTGTTAGGTCAACATCAAATTGTTATAGATACCACAATTTTTTTTAATAAAACTGAAATCATAAAAGTGATACGTCAAATGCGGTTCAAATAACTTCTATTGAAGTCGTAAATAATCGTTTTTATATTCATTTATTAACTGTCGATGTAATCTTCGAATATTATGTCAAACTGTTTGTAAGTTTTGTATTAAAAAGGGACAACGTTCCAGTTACCGGTGGCATAATTAAGTTTAAGTGAATAGACCTTGTAACGACTCACCTACTATTCTAATTGAATACGGATAAAACGATTGTCGTTAACTAACGCGCCCACAACGACAGCCTACGACAACGATAAATTGGAGTCAAGGGGATTAAAGAATCAAAATTTTAAACATTGACGTCTAATGTAGGTTTCACATGGCAAATGAATGTGAACCAAGAGGTATTGTCTGTAAATCATTGAATGCGAGTTGAAACAACAATTTTTTTATTTATCTCTCAAATGAAGTATTAAAAATCGTATGTGCTGAAATACGAAAGTGAAAAAATGTGACTCTACCATCATCCGCTATTAGATAATTTGTTGAAGATTTATTTACACATCTGGAAACTTGCATAAACAAACGATTTCAAATTTTCAGGGTAATATTTCCGTGAGAATTTTCTACGGATTACTTAGAAAATTAATTAACCAAATCTATCTAGTTCATGAGCTTTGTATCTTTTTGCGAGCTTCTTATTGATAATACT